GACATGTATGGTTAATGTAATGTCCTTTTAAGAAACCATCCGTGGTTGTGTAAAGCAAAAATCTGCGAAATGTTGATTCAAAAATTTGGTGTGTAAAGCTTGGTAAAAAATTACCTACTGGAATTGGCTCAGTGTTGTGTTTGGACTTGGGCAAATTTTAATTCCAGAAATTAGCAAGTTTGGAATTTCATTTTCTGGCCAGAGTGAATTTCAAAATACTGTTTTAACACATGAGTGAATCTTTAATTCTGGATGATAAGATTGACTCATTGTTAACATCCTTGTGATAGGGACATTGAAATGTTGAAAATGCAACTCCCTGTAGGTGAGGAGTTTAGGAAAGGCAAATTTAACAAAATGGTGGGCTTTTCCTTCCTTAAAAGTATATTCACTTATTTTCCTTAGAGGAGGAGAGAGACAGATGATGTAATTACATGCAAGAGTTTACACCCCAACCCCGTTTTGAATCTGTAGTAGAATAATACTAATTAACCCATTCTGCTTTACGTGGAATAGATTGACGTTGTTTTGTTTTAGAAATTGGAGACACTGAAGGCTGAACACATTTGCAGAATTTCAATGTCGCAAAACTGTGATGGATGCGGCACCCTCAACCCATCAAGCCATGTATCAATAACACATTTTGGTGTTGGGGAAGTACTGTGGATATATTAATTGTAATGAGTGTCAGGAATCTTGAAACCACCGAGACTGGTAACACTTAAGCATATCATGACAAAAACTACATTAAAGATTCACATGCCCTGGTAATCTAAAACATTTAAATTGAATAGTTCCCTGAAAATTTAAAGGGATTCTTGAAAATGATAAAGTGGATGCACAGAGTTTCAGTGGTTTCAATGCATACAAAAATGGTTTGTGACTTCAAGGGAGTAAACAGAATATTGAATTTGGACAAATTTACATAGAGATATATCAAATATCCAGAATGAATTATCAAGTAGCTTTAAAAAAAAAGTGGGTCATCTTACAAAAAGAACAAAGTTTGTTTGTGCCTGAATCAAACAGAAATGTTTGACTTCTGTTTTAAAATATTACAAGATTATGTTCCGTGGACTACAAACCTCTACAGATCTCTGGAATTAGATATGGTGGTAATAGTTAAGTTGCAAAACTGGATGAGATGAAGTAATTAAGGGTGAAGACTAGTGGCAGAAGAAAACAAAATAGAGTAATGGGTTGAGACAGCAATTGAGGTTAAAATGCATTTTTGTGAAAAGGAAGTTTAGATGAGAGTACCAAACTGATAGCATTCTCTTGATGATGTTTGTGTCTTTGTTTTTCTTTCTAAGAAAGATTGAATTGGTGGTTCAAGCCAGTACCTGAAGCATTGGGACCATACTTGGAGAGATAAGTAAAACCTCATAGATAATTTGATAAGATCATGTAGGAGTCAAGAATGCCTGATATGGTCTTGGGACACTGATGTAAGTGTGCAAAAGTGAATGTTACCTCAGAGGTAACAAACATGAGACGGTAGAAAAATATGCACTGAAGAATGGGTCTCAGACTGGTACACTTACTTGACAAAAGGATCAGTGTGGCTTAGAAGAGCACAAAAACATAGTTTAAATGATAAAAACCTCACACCAAATCCATAGGGAAACTGACTTTACAACAGTGTAAGTAGTATTAGTGAAAGGGATGTAAAAAGAATTACAATCGAAGTAAAAAGTATGATGGGCTATTCTGTCAAAATGTTACAGAAATGAAAGTATATGGACTCTGGGGGAGTAATAGTGGACTGAGTGAAATGGTCCATCGAATGATATAAAAAGATGCCCCATCTTGAGCGTTTGTATGATGCATGTACTCCAGTGTTTACACCAGTAGGTGAAACTGTAACATGTTTGGACAGTTAGTGTATATGAAAGAAGGCGGAGCTAAGACCCAGGTGGTGTAGGAGTCTGTGGTAAGGGAACCCCCGGAGAAATAAAAGGCAGGAAGCATAAGTTGAAGGTAAAGCCCAATGAACATTAGAGCTGTGTTGTTGGATCCCATGTATATTGTAGCTCAAAGGGGGTACCTGCATTTGGAGGTAGTTACCACTCAGTGATACAATCATTCATAAAAGTGGCAAGGAGGGAAACATATGGAAGAAATATCCTCAAGACAGATACAGATGAAGAGAGCTGGAGAAATTTTGAGTCCATGTATGATGTTATTTTACCATTATTGGGTGAAGTGATCTGTGGATAGGGAACTGGAGCTTTAAAAAAAAACACAAATTAAGGAACCTGAATTTGGAATATACTGAATTCTAGAGCAAATTATGTCAATAGATTAACTGAAAAAAAAAGCGTAGACGATATTCTGGTCACCTCAGTCAGGTGGCATGATTTACTGGTTCCATCACGGCCTTGGCCATACATCAGGCTGGGATATATATTTAAGGGTTAGTCTCCAAAGGCCACTACGATCATTTATTTTGATGTTACACCCTATTGTTGTATGGTTCATACTGGTGATGGTTATTTTCATTGTAGTTTTAATTTTCTAGTGTGCGTTACATACTCTTATTCTACGTTCTTGCGCGACTGTTGCTGATTTGCATCTGCTTCTGCAACTGTAACATGCACTGTCAAATATCATTAGGAGTGAATTGTACAGGATGGGCTGAAGGGCCAGACTTGTTGATGATATTCGACAGCTGCATGACCTTGAATGAGTCCTGTAAGCACTCCTGGATGTGCCAAAGCCGGCACAACCAACTTGTTTTTCTGAGCCTTGCTGTTTGTTACCCTGTACAAGAGGGAGCGTTTTGTACCAAGTCGCTGGATTTCACCTTGGTCTGGGATCGCCAACAGTGCCAGGGACAACCTCAGCCTCCAGACTAGCCATTGATCCAAGGGTGTCCAATGGGCTGAAGGGCGTGAGGCTTATTGTTTTGTTTCCTCTCATTTTCAATCTTTTTATTTACTTCATAAATTTTCCTCTCTCTTCTCATCTTTTATTACTACTCAATAAATGTTCATATTTAAGCAAATTGCTGTTGTCCAGCCTTCTCTTAATTACATTTAACTGAATCCGAAAAGAACTGCTTGGATACACGCTGTGATCCGAGACACCAGGTCACATGATGTCAAGGTTTACTTGGAGCACAGAAATAAATTGGTGTACACATGGCAAAGCAGCGAAGTCCAGGGCTGAAGTGCCCAGCCAAATTGTCCAGATGAGTGAATTAAATTTAAAAAGAAGATGCATTGCACATTATAAAATTACACGTTTTTGGACAGCCCTGGTTTTAAGACAGCTAATTTCGCATATGTGTTCCTTCAATTGTTCTAAAAATAACTTGTCTCTTATTAATAAAATTCAGCATAGAAAAAAAAAGACAATTTATCATAACATCCAGGCATTTATCAGTGATTTACAGTGGAAAGAAAATCAAATTTCCCTAATAATTGGCTTGATGAAGCCTCTCATCAGGTTCTAGATCCTAATACTTTATTATCTTTTTGCCTCCACCCACTATATTTTTCAAAGAAAGCAGGTGTCACGGTTTGAGATGATATGTGTTTCCTTCAACCCTGAACCAACTCCTGCTGTTTTACCAGACTATTCACTCTAGATGATCTCACTGGAGACACAGGAGCTAATCAAATTGTGAATCAGCAGTTTAATAGTAGCATTTTCACACCAAATTCACAAATGTAAATCCCTGTATGGTCAGAAACACTTGTAAAAACATTTAGAGGGCATTGATAATGATTACAAAGGAATAAAATGGAAATTAGGAAGATAACATTGGACTAGAAACAGGGTAAGTAGGTTTTTATATTCAAAGAGTGACAAAGTAGGCAACTACACACCAGCAGTCTTAATTTCAGCAATGTATAAAATAATGAAATCATTTATCAAGCGTAAAATCAACTATTTTCTTTAGAAAGGTACAAGAAACAACAACGTGAGTGATTTTCAAAAGTGGTTGATTCTGTGTGGCTAACCTCATTAATTTATTTGAGGTAATGATAAATGCCACTATAAACTTAGATGTTTGAAATTCTGCATAAAAGGACACCAGTTAAGTTCAAAGGAGTAAGCTCAGAAATTACATAATGAGTTCAACAAAGTTTGTGAAACAGTCGATAAAATTTTAATGCCGAAAGAGGCAGACCACTACATTCAATCTTGTATCGCACCCAAGAAAAATGATATTTAACTGAAGTAGAGAAAAGAACCTTAAGGTGGATTCCTATTACGAGGGATAGGAGTTGTGATGAAAGACTGAAACACTCGCACCTATCAGTCTGAAAAGTAGGCCCAGAGAGACAATCTTACAGAAATATAAAAGGTGACATGGAAGTGTATGGTAAAGGTAAATTAGGAATGTTAGTTTAAAATTAGAATAGCAAAATAGTATGAAGGACTCCATTTCAAGTTAGTAAAAATTAGTTTCAGTTCCAAAACTATCAGCTAATATGCAGCAGGAAAAATTCCAGCACCACTTCAGAAACAATTACAGTGAGGATCTATGTGGGTCATTGTGGACGGATAATTATGATCTGACAAATGGCTTCTCATCTTTCTAAGCCCCCTATCAAGTATCATCAGCAATTTGGCACATAGTCCAAATCTTTTTCAATGGATAAAATAAATGTATAACTTTACAAAGATACAGCCAAAACAAAAAATTCATTCTGAAGTTATCATGACCGTGCCAAATATAATAAAATAATGGAATTGTCCAGGCACACTGAAAAACATTTTGTTTGCAGCTTTTCAACATCAGTAACTATCACTTTATTCAAATTTTCAAAGGTTAGCTACAGCACTTTTCAAGTTTTCAGCATCGGTAGCTCACTTCTTATTTCAGGTGAAAATTAAGCCAAGTTGATAGTTAATTTGTACGCTTAGATGACATGCCTTTTTGGCCAATGACGAATGTGCTAACAAAGTAATAACCTGAGGTATAGATTAATCTCCCAAACCAATTCGTTACCAGAACAGTTGACTGTTCTCATTGACCTGGAAAAATACAGAGCAATTGTTTTATTTTTCCATTTCATTTAAATTTCAAAAAGGGTTGTAAAATAAGAGAGTTTATTTTCCATCACATCACCTCTCTTAAAAAGACGACAGATATAGGGAAGAAAAAACTCGAAATGTTATAGGGAAAGGGAATTAATTAGATTAGTCAGAGTATTTGGAGAACCGTACAAGTGTGCTAGACTGAAAGGACTCATCCCCACAAAGTTCTATACTACTACAAGAAACTGCACTTATAGACCAAATTTAACAGAAAAACATTTCACAAAGTAATGACCCTTGAGAGCAAAATGTTGACTTTTTGATGAAATTAAGGGGTTGATGATAGACTTGGTGAAAAGATGAATTTATTTCAAATGTTTAACATAAGAAGGAGAAGTAGAGAGACAAGGGTTTATGGAGTTTAAGATAACGCACACAGATGGTAGAATAGATAAAATACCTAATTAACGTGTGCATCCCTCGTACCTGCGTAGTGTTCTCCAACACACTCAAGGTCTTTGGCAATGGTTGGGCTTGGTGGGCAGATGCCAAAGTTGCCCTGAAGTAATACAGCATGAAAAACAGTGTGATTAAGTTTCAAACCTAGACAAATACCAAAACATTCAGATGCTATGTTTGCTTTTTAGAATATTCAAATAGTCAGAAAGTAGCAGGAATATTTTGTTAGATCAGTTTGAGGCATTTGAGTAACAAAAAAGCTATATCTTTACTTAAAGCAAATTTAATTTGTGCAAATTTGAATGAAGAACATCCAAAGATGTTTGTGGAATAACTAAAAAGCAAACAGTCTTCTAATCCAACATTATAAACTTTAGTCCAATCGCTAAAAGCAAAGCAGCAACTTCTAAAATCCTGGTTGGGAGTGGGGGGGATAATTTGAACTTTTGGTGATAAGTGTAAAAGCAGTGATACAAGATCATCTACCTGTTAAGTGTCTTACTCAATTGCAATGCGAAAACGAATATTAAGCGAGAAGTATAACAGGCAGCCAGTATAATATCACCAATTTTCCATTATCCTCCAAAGTTAAAACTATCCCTACACCTTTTACACCATTTTGTAACTTTCTCAAAAAAAAAATTAGGCAGCACTGCTCCTCACATGTTTTAAGACATCAAAAAACGATGAATGAAAAGGGACGGGAATTATTATGTACATCTTAGTCATCTAGGAGACTAGAAGCTAATTGTCCCAATTTACTATTGAATTACTAAATTAGCATGAAATAGTATTTATAACACAAACAATGTCAATAGTAAGATGACCCAGTGACAACAACGCAACTGAATATAAGAAACTAAACTTTTGCAAACTGCTCTGTATTAGAAACATAGAAAATAGGAGTAGGCCATTTAGTCCTTCAAACTCATCTGCCATTCAATACGGGTGATCATCCAATTTATTACTCTTTTCCAGTTTTATCTTTTAACCCTAAGAACTATAACTAATTCCAACTCCTTCTTGAAAATATTGAGTTTTGATCTCAACCACTTTCTTTGGCAGAGAATTTTGCAGGCTCACTACTCTTTGGGTGAAGAAATTTCTCCTTATCTCAGTCCTAAATGGCCCATGATTAGCTGTTACTCTCATCAAGACGCTTGGGTGAAAGTGTCACTGACAAACAATGGGCTGAAATTAATGTTCCCAACATGGGTCCCGCCCACCACCACCACCGTCCTCCCAGTTTGAGAACCAGCAGGGAATCTGTGTTGCTTTGGTACGGAGACCCAAAAGAAATTAAATGCCTGTCAAATTGCTGTAGAAAAGAAACAAAAGGATTTGAGTTATGTTTGCGGAGAGCTATCAGGCACCCAAGTGGTTAATGCAAGCCTGTTATGGGACTGAGGACCCCACTGGTGGAATCTCAGCTGCTGAGAGCTCCCAGTCAATTAGAAGGCAGCAGCTCACCATTACCAATCAACGCTGTCAGGGATGGTATCGGCTGCTGGTAATGGAAGAACAAAGAACAAAGAACAGGCTCAGAATCGATGAGGAAACTATGCCATAGGTAAATAACAGCAGAATGGGGATCATAGTGTCACTGATAGGGGACAAAGATGCAATTGGATATGAGGCAGGAGCTAGCTTTCAGTGGGCAACCCACTACCTGATGCAGGATTCTTCAATGTGCAATCCTCTAGATGTGAGAATACCAAACTTATCACCCTCAGTGTAAAGATATTTCTCTGCATCTCTGTGGTAAATGGCCGATGCCTTATACTGACACTGTGGTTTTTAGTTCTAAACTCCTCTTAGGGAAATAGTCTATTAGAATCCAAACTTGCCAACTCAAGTAACTTATGGCCTGGAATTTGCAGCTATAAAATATGAAACTAGCAAATTGCTTTCATTCCATGATGAAACTTCACGTAACTTTTGGCTTCTGCATCCGTGCATTTAAAAGTGGAAATGCAGACGTGATGTCTGTCATTCCCTCCTCTTCCATATAATATGCTGCTGAAGACTTTGCAGAGGGAAATCTGCTGAAATCATTGGAACTGACACAATCTTCCACTTTTCCCTCCAATAGACTTGCCTAGTCAAGCAAGGTGATTTTTAACTAGATCTTTTACTGGTCTGGTCTTGAAAAACAAATTTTCTATTTGTGGCATGCCACGTTTTTCTCTGAAGGGAAAATGCATGGACTTTTTCCCCCCCAACATTATAATTTCAGTGTCTTGTTGACACTTTCATTATTTTATTTATATTATAATCATTTTTGGTTTCGAACTGTGAACAGTGAGCTGAGACCTGAAGGTGGCCTTTGGATTGTAAGCAGCAGGTTGTGGTAAAAATAAAAGAGAACAAATTGATATTTGCTCATGAGGTCAGGCCCAGAACTCAATTGCAGATGGAGTCTTGTTCAAAGAATGCTATAGATGTTTCAGTTCCAGACATGCTCTATGCTCAAACAGATGGCAGATGTTGAATGTTAGTTGGGGCCTCATAGGGAGGCAACCAGTCTAACAAAGAAAAAAACAAGGTTTGAACTGGTTTTGAACTGTATTTAAGTCAGAAGCATGGTGACTGTGAAAGCTACAGGAAAGAGATTTGATTGTTCCATGTTATCTTCCCATTAGCAACTTATTGAAAGTTCAGAGAAAGAACTTCAGTTTAAGTATTAAGTGAATATTCCTTGGAATCTATAGGAAGCTATTTACATGCACTGGTGTCTTCAGGAAGCAATCAAAATACAATCCTGTGTGCCTGTGATGTTACGGCTCATGTAGTCTGCTTATGTGAACTAATCAGTTACCTGTCATTTTTTCTTCCTTTGTTTAATCCCTTAACTATATCTTTTTGTCTGTTAGTCTTTGCGTGCATGAGGGCTAAAATCAAAGAAGATCAGGTTTAAATCATAGACATTAATTAGATTACCTTGTGGTTTAACTTTGCACTGCTAAAGTTACAGTATGATCTATAATTTGTTAAGTCATTTGTTTAAGCTACAAAACTGGTGTCTGGTATCTGTCATTCAAAAAAATTTGATTAGGGATGCATTAGGGTAAATGTTGAAGTTCATTGAATGTTTCAGTTTTACTGTGTTCTGAATATAGGAATAGGGTGGCTGTTTTGATTTGGCTGCCTGTCTTTGTGTTGTCACAGTCTGTTTAAATCCCATTTGTATGCCCCATTGTTATACTGCTTTCTGTAATTGTTTTAAGAACATAAGTGCATTTTATTTCCTGGATTACTTATTGGTTCAATGGTTTGATAACAAGATTATAGTATTGCCGGATGCTGCAGCTCCCCTATAGTTAGCTCTAGGAACAAATTAGCGTTGGGAATCTCTCCTTAAAGGACATGTCTCACCACACCCCCACACCAAAGAATTAACCTTAGTCTTACTATCTAGGGACCAAAACTGTTCACAGTGCTTTCAGAATTACAGGATTTTAAAATGTGCAGAAGGAAGCCAATCAGCCCAGTATGTCTGTACTAGCTCTCCAAATGTGCATCATAATTTAGTGTCATTCTCCTGCCTACTCCTCATATCCTTGCCCACTAGTTACTTAAATAGAAACATTCATTCAGTGCCCTCTTGAATGCCTCAATTGAACCTGCCCTGTACCACACTTCCAGGCAGTACATTCTAGACCTAAACCACTCATTGTGTGAAAGGGTTTCTCCTCACCTCTCATTTAGTTCTTTTGCAAAACATTTTAAATCTGTGCCTTCTTGTTCTTGATCCTTTCATACGTGGGAATAGTTTCTCACCATCTACTTCAGCTAAGGTCGGAGTCTATATAATTGCAAATAGAGTCTCCTACCCTTCATACTCTGCACCCTTGCAATTACCTAATTACTTGCTATAAATTGATGTTTACTATTTAATGATGTGTGTGCACCTAAATCTGTGTTTCCTAGTCTCTCACCAATGAATATTTTGCTTTTCTATTCTTCCTATCAATGTGAGTAATTTAACATTTCGTACATTACAAAGGTGATAGAGAACAGTGCCCAATTTACCTCTGCAGGTAAAAGGAGCTACATTAGATTCATTATTTGATGGCATCCTTACAGAGGTTAACATGATAAATTAAAAGATGTAATATGCAAAATATGATATCATTTTATCCCTAAATAGTTTTTATTGATACTTTAGTGAAGTATTTGAATGAATTTATTTTAAGTGGCTTAATAGTGGTTAAGATAATAAATGGACTTTGATCCAAATATTAAAGTTTTTTTAAAATCACTGTCAATTTCAAGTAGTTGCGATTACATTCAGGAGTCCTTTCACTACTGTTACACTAGAATTCATAAAACCTTAAACACTACTGAACTTTCTTACTATCAATTTGCAAACTTATACCCTCATAATCACTATTGGCTGGTAAGACAAAATAACTGAAATGCAATTAAGCTAAACCTGTACATTCCTTAATTGTGGATTCTTTCATTGAAACGTTTGTCTTAATTCATAAGCTTTTACCCCTGCGTTTTCAGTAGATGAAACCCAGTATAGCCAAGTTGCTGTACCTTAACCAGTCAGTGAATGTATCAAGTCTTCTTTGTTAGTAGGTTTTCATTAAATTCTTATGGAAAACTTGATGATTGGAAAAGACGGTAAACATTTTAGGAATGTTTTATACCTTGAATTTGCTTAAATGTTTCTACTCTCAACACAGTCCTGATGAAATGTATTGTGTTTCACTCAGCAACATCAATTATTATCCCATTTACTCTATGTTCCACACTAGGTTTTGTTCTATATCACGATCCCAGTTACAAGTTATTCTCAATCGTAAATCAAGAAATTAGAGAGCAGAGACATTCAGGTCACCAAAAGGGGACTAAATGAGCCCAAAGTATATGTGAGTAAATACATTACATCTCCTACTAAACAGCAATGTGTGCTGATTTTAATTGTCTTAGTTGGGGCAACAAAGAACAATAGTGTTTGGTTCCATGATACCCATGCCAGAGAGTTCGGGGAAAAGATCTTGAAAAACATTATTATTTCTCACTCTTAATAGTCTCTCTTTCTTACCACCCACTCCAGAAAGTGTACCTTAAGTTAACAGTTGAAACCAT